TTGACTCTGTCTCTCTTTCAGGAGGAAATAAATGATCAACTCTTCTCAAAAAAAAAAAAAAAGAAAAATATCTTAAAGGATTTTTGTGGAAACTAAACTTACAAACAAATATTGGAAATAAGCACTCACATGGCATAATCAGTACTCAGTAATGAGTTAATTGTTTTATCAATTTTTGTATACATGTAGATTCTAGATTACATTGAATATCATACATTGAAACAAGAAATTTGAACTGTTGAAACTATTCTATTTTATTAATATTAGAGTCATAATGTGTGTGTGTGTGTGTGTGTGTGTGTGTGTGTATGTGTATGTATTAGTCCGGAATAACTTATTACACTTATTGTATCTTCTTGAAATATATAAAAATGATTTCCTTTTTTCTCTTTTAAATTTACATTTAGTCAATATACATCTTTACAGCATACAATATGGTTTTTCAAAGCATGTATGCAGTGTATGTCAATCAAGACAAAGAGGGACCAGCAGTTAGCGTAATGACTATGTCTCTAGACTCGCACGTAGTTGACCATGGTTCGAGTCCTGGACCCGTGGTTTAAACTCACGCCGGGCGCGTGTGCATGCATGCCCAAGATCCCAAGAGAATGGAGGAGAAGGGATTGTGGCGTGGCCATCCCCCTGGGGGGTGATTTCTCGCTTTCTGTCTCTCTGTCTCTTTCTGTCTGTCTAGCGAGTGCACACGCCCTATAGCAAAAAGCCTTTCCAAAAAAAAAAAAAATCAAGACAAAGATATTATCATGTATATAATTTTTCAAGAGATAATTTTACATTGTTTCTGTTAATTTTTTTCCCGAAACTCTCCCTCGCACCCTCTACTATCCACCCACTTATATTCAGCATCTGATATCTGCACCTGCCCTTCCTACTAGTATATCATCGAACCTTTCAATTTCTGCCATAAAGTGTAGACATTCAGTATATATTGAGTGGGAACATACACTGTTTGTCATAGTCTGACTTGCCTCACCAAGCACTAAATCTTCTATTTTCATTCATTTTGCATCAAATTGAATTTACTTTTCCATACTATTTTTAAATTTTTCAATATTAAAATATTTATTTTCATCTAGTCCCTCATAGAAGGGAGGTGCATTTGTCATTTTTACTACAGCTTATTCTAAAATGATAATTTGAGATTGCTTTGAAAAAAAAAGAAACATATATAAAAAATCACATTGTGTCTCATAAATGTATAATATATGCAATTTTAAAAACTAAAATAGAAAAGTGCTTTTTTAATGTATGAGAACATAAATAAGGTATGTATATAGCTATAAAAAGAAAAATATGTTAAAAAAAGAAGAATCTTTTCTCAATAAGTCGTTATAGCAATTGAAGGCTTTGTTTGGCATTTTTAAATTGTTATTTAAAATTTTTATATTTTTCATACTGTGTAAAAATTGTGTAACATAAAGAAAATAAATGCTAACAAAGACAACTAATAAAATATAATGTAAAATGCAGTATTCATAATTATATTTTTATTATTTATAACAAAAAAGTAGTATTTCAAGTTATCAGAAATATATGAATATTGACAACACAAAAATGATATGCAAAATTATTAATAATAACTGTTTTAGGATTGTGTGATTTTTTTTTATTTTTGTTTTTCTAATATTCTGTTATAGGGATCAGCAACCTGTAATCCTTTGGTTAGTTTGTAAATCACTTTCTTTTGGAATACATCCATGTCTTTTTATTTCATTTTTGTCTGTGTCTGCTGATCTAGATTTTCCAGTTGAGTAGTTGGGAGAGAGACCAGATGGCCCCAAAGTTTAAAATATGTATTAACTGGTCCTTTTCAGGAAAAATATAAACAGACATTACCCCTGTTTTATATTATAACTGTTATCAATGTTGCAAAGCAAAATAAAGAAATAAAATATAATTATTCATCTACTTCAAAATGAGTAGGCTAGATCAGCCATTTATGGCAGCACACATGAACCTAGAAGGCATTATGCTAAGAGAAAGTTACATGGACACAGAAAGAAATGTACTGCATGGTTTCACATAAATGTAGACTATAAAAAGAAACATTTATAGAAAAGAGAGAAAAAAAATTAAACCAGGGATGGGGAGGTAGGGAAAATGGGGAAATGTTGGTGAAAGTGTGCAAGGTAGTTGTCCTGTAGAATAAATAAGTATAGAGATCTAAAATGTAAATATGTTGTCTGTAGTTAATAATTCTATATTGTATACTGTAAATTTGCCAATAATAGTTTCAGGTGTTATAACCACACACACACACACACACACACACACACACAATCACAGGAACTCTATCAGATGGAATATTTACTTTAAATTATTTATTTTTGAGAGATTTTTGCTATAGGGTGCATGCACTTGCTAGAGAGACAGAGAGAGACATAGATAGTGAAAGCAAGAAATCACCCCCCAAAAGGAAATGGCCACACCACAATCCCTTCTTCTAATTCTCCTCCTGGGATTTTGGGCATGCATGCTCATGTGCCCAGCGCAAGTTCCTAGCCACAGGGTCTGGATCTTGAACTGACATGTGGGATTTCAGCACCTTAACCACTAAAGCACTATGCTACCTGCTGGTCCCATAGATGGATTTTTTTTTTAACTGCTAGAGGGCATGTGTATTTGTCAATGAGAGAGAGAAAGAGAAAGAGAGACAGCCCAATCCCCAGCGGAGCATGTTCACACCACAATTCCTTCTCTTCAATTTCTCCATCTCATCAGGATTTATGGTATACATGCACATATGGCCAATGTGTTTTTCAGGGCTGGGATTACACTTTTATACTTGCAGTTGGCCATTTGGGATTTGGCTCCCTAAACCACTAGTCTATAAGACTAGACTAGGGTGATGTACACACACAATGTGTGCACATGTTTTATATCTTAAATATATGCATTATTTGTTTAAAAAAAACCTAATTGGTTCAATGCAGCTTTATCTCCACAGTTATCAAAAATGGGGAAGAAAGCTGGGTAAGGTGAGGTGGACCTATGATTCTAGCTATGTGGGAAACTGAGATAGGAAAATTCTGAGTCAAGGCCAGCCTCGGCAACTTAGTAAGATCTGACCTAAAAACAAACAAACAAACAAAAAACAAAAAACAAACAAACAAAAGATAAAGAAGCAAGGCAGTAGACAAAGCCAGTAGATCATGATGTGAACAAGCTGTCCAAGAAGTCCAAGAATCGTTTCATTTCTTGGTTCAGCATTAGACAAGAAGGAAAATCTAGAGCTATAAGTATCAATTAATAAGGTCAAAAGAAATGACTGAAGTAGAATGTGCAAACTCTTCTTACGTATATCTGACTCATATAAGTATTTTATCCTTTTGTCTTTTTATCTGCTAATCGTAGATTGTAATGATTCTCTCCATCCACAATTTGCTATAAAGCATTATGTTAAGATTTATTTGACAAATACACACAAAAAATCATATTGGTTATCCACATTATTTGTTATTATATTACTCATTATCTTATTTATGCTAGTGTAATACTGCTCTATTTTAAGGATTATATTTATCTTTCTTTCCATATGAGTTTCTGAAATTCGAGTTCTGTGTGTGGTCATAAAGAAATGATAAAACATTAAGATAGAGAATGTTTACTCTCAAAAATCTGAAAAAAATCTAAGATCCATTTTTATCTTTCTAAAAAGGCTATCTAAAGATATCTTACGTACATTTTTACACTAAACAAAATTAAACCTATGTGTCTACTTTCATAGCTACTTGGTTTTGGGTAGATTTTCTGCAGAACTGTGGCAAATTAGTTTTTATTAACTTATGTATTTCAAATGTCATTTTATCACTACAAGAAAGATTTTCTTTTCCCTCTACATTTCAATGGAAAAATATTCATAAATTCACTGACAGTAGTATAAGGGAGATGCTAAGCTACATGGGCAACTTCATCTAAAACCTAAATAAGCACTGTAACTCGACCCAGAACTATTGTTGACAGAGAACTCAGGTGTTTTAATACAGTTTCTTTTAAACATATTAAGCTATACATAATAATTATTTTCCACAGGAGAGTGGTTACCCTAAACCATAAAGCTAGAAGTGATTTTTTTATTAGTATATTCACAAAGAAAGTCCCTTTCTCCACTCCTTCTCAACAAACATATTGTCCATTCAGTTGTGAGAATTTCATTACTATAAAACATGCATAAAATGTATCATTTGTAAAATGTTAAGCACCAGTTTTGAAAGGGCATTGCAATGAATTTAACGCCATGAATCACACAATTTCTAAACCTATAGGTTAACAAATTAGATTCAGGTTAGTATGGTTTTAATTTCAGTTATTAACAGTGTTAACATTCAGGGACCAGCAGATGGCATAATGGTTACATTGCTGGATTCCCACATAGACAATCACTGTTTGAGTCCCAGACCAGAAGTTTAAACTCACAGGTGCATGTGCGTCTGTATGCAAAACCCCCAAATCCTGAGAGTAGAACGGAGGGGAAAGGTTTGCAGTGTGGCCATACCTCCTGAGGGATTTCTTGCTTTCTGTCTCTCTATGCCTCTTTGTCAAGTGCACATGCCCTATAAGAAACATCTCTCTTAAAAAACAAACAAACGACAACAAAAAATTGTTAATATTCTAAAATGTGCCTTTTATTTCTTTCTGTACAATTCATCAGATTTAATACATGGTTCTTTATAAACTTGATCTAGAAAATGTTAAACATTTTGGGTTAAAACATTCTATTTTAAGCGGCGACACATCTGTTTTCCTTGTGTTCAGAAATAAAAGACTGAGATACCTTTTAGTTTTAGGTTGGTACTTCAGACCTCAATTTTTAACATCACTTTAAGCAATTTTTGTTTCCATACAAGACTGAAATAATAATATTGTAGTTACAACTGTAAAATATTATTTAGTGACTGCCAAGAGTGATATATAAAATGGAAGCAAGTTTTAAACAATTCCTTGTTTTTTTGTTTTGTTTTGTTTTGTTTTGTTTTTTATAGGTTACTTGAATTTCAGTTAGTGGAACAGAAATGCCACCAACACGAAGAAACTCCCCTGTACCTCCACCTCCTGACGGAGGCTGGGGCTGGGTTGTGGTTGGAGCAGCTTTTATTTCCATTGGATTTTCGTATGCAGTCCCCAAAGCTGTCACAGTATTCTTCAAAGAAATCCAGCAAATATTCAACACTTCCTACAGTCAAATAGCGTGGATATCATCCATTATGCTGGCTGTTATGTATGCTGGAGGTAAGGTTCTGGAAATAAATAGAATTTGGATTAAGAAAGCAGTTTCTCTATGCTATAATGTCTTACATGCAGTGTCTTGGTATATTAAAGCCTTGTTTTCATATTATAATCACTTAAAATTAATGGAAAGTATATCCGAAGCCAATTTTAAAATTAGTTTAGTGATTCAACATTGAAATATTCACTTCATACTGAGTCATAATAGAGTTCTTGTATGAATAAGAATTTAATTGAACAAATGGAGATTTGCTAAATTACAGAATTTCCAAGAGAGACACCTTTCCATTTATCCATAGTCTGGAAGTCTGCGTTACCGTGCTGGCATTATTTTCTACTATGGCTATAGCTGATACAGTTGCTTTCTTTTGAATGCAAGGAACTCAAGTTACTGACGATTTGTAGATCCAGAAAGTACTTCATGTTAAGCTCCAGAAATGAAGTATTATTATTATTATATTCTGGACCCATTCAAGTTTGTATGACTAAAATAAGCTCTTGTCTTTGTAGGCTTCATTAAATATGACATCTTTTATTTAAATGGTCATCTGATAATTATCTTGTTACATGCTATGTTCAAATGAGGGTATAAGTCATGAGGGATATTATGAATAAATGAAAGTACTATCTCACTTCTGAATGTTTTAAAGAAAGTGAAATTTAGTGCATTTTTGATAGGGGATACAAGATGAGAAGCCCTGATCTGAAATATCTGGGACAAGAAGTGTTTCAAAATTTGATTTTTTTCAGATTTTGGAACATATGAAAAACAAAATGAGGTATTTTGTGAAATTCTTTGATTCGAAATGTGAAGTTCTTTGATTTTCACATATACCTTTTATACATAAGCTGAAGGTAATTTGATACAATATATTTTTGTATTGCAATGTTTTTACTGTGACCAATTCCATAAGCTGGGATATGGAATTTTCCACGTGTGGCATCATGTTGGTGCTCAAGAAGTTTGAGACTTTGAAGTGTTTTAGATTTCTGACTTTTGGATTAGAGAAACTCATTAAATAGTATGCCACCTGCTTCTAAATAGCAGACCAGACCATAATAGATTTTTAAATAAATGCTTTCTTAAAATATATGGATTTTGGCATTTTTACTTTTGTTTGTTTAGATAATTATCTTGTTACATGCTATGTTCAAATGAGGGTATAAGTCATGAGGGATATTATGAATAAATGAAAGTACTATCTCACTTCTGAATGTTTTAAAGAAAGTGAAATTTAGTGCATTTTTGATAGGGGATACAAGATGAGAAGCCCTGATCTGAAATATCTGGGACAAGAAGTGTTTCAAAATTTGATTTTTTTCAGATTTTGGAACATATGAAAAACAAAATGAGGTATTTTGTGAAATTCTTTGATTCGAAATGTGAAGTTCTTTGATTTTCACATATACCTTTTATACATAAGCTGAAGGTAATTTGATACAATATATTTTTGTATTGCAATGTTTTTACTGTGACCAATTCCATAAGCTGGGATATGGAATTTTCCACGTGTGGCATCATGTTGGTGCTCAAGAAGTTTGAGACTTTGAAGTGTTTTAGATTTCTGACTTTTGGATTAGAGAAACTCATTAAATAGTATGCCACCTGCTTCTAAATAGCAGACCAGACCATAATAGATTTTTAAATAAATGCTTTCTTAAAATATATGGATTTTGGCATTTTTACTTTTGTTTGTTTATTTATCTATTTACTTTTAGTTTGCTAAAGGGTGTATGTGCTTATTAGAAATGGAGAAAAAATGAGAGGAAGAGAGGGAAAGTAGAACCCAAAGGTCAGGAAAGATGGCCACACCACAATCCCTTCTCCTCAATTCCCTTTCAGGATTCTAGGCATGCACACACAGGTGCCCAGCAGGATTGCCAGCCACTGGGTATTGGGTTTAAACTATGTAGTTAGCCATGTGGGATCCAGCTGCCTTAAAGTCCATGCTACCTGATGGCCCACATTTTTTTTATTTTTAATCAGGATATTTGACTTTAATGGACATGTATAAATTCAGAATATGAGAATTTATGAAAAATCATATAAACAGTCTAGTGTAATTTCTTACTTTACAAGTAAGGATAAATATGGCTTACAGTGATGTAGATAAAACATTAGAAATCATATTTAATGTTTATTATTATCTACTTTCACCAAGGCCTAAGTACTTGATATGTGTGATATGACCTAATTCTCTTAACTAGTGAATTAAGAATTACCTTCTCTTTGCTGCAGAAGTTAAGGAAATACTGAGGAAAATATTCTTTCTAAGTCAAGCAGCTCATTAGTGGCATAGTAATTGAGACTTCAAACATTTAATTGAAGGCTGAAAGACTCACAGCCTTTCTTACATCGTCTTCTTTACTTCTACAAAGTGATGAAGCCAGATGTAAGCCAGATCTTCTGCAAACTTGAGTCAGTGTTCTTTCCACTGCAGTGTAGTGACATTTGTGCCACCCTAACCAAGGTCATTTGTTCAGTGAAACAATTATTCTTTAAGATACTGTATTTTTTTTTCTTGTATTACCAAGGTGACATTGATGCTTAAATGATCATCCACTTGTGTGTGTGTGTGTGTGTGTGTGTGTGTGTGTGTGCGTGTGCGCACATGCATGTGGGTTGCTATTGGAGACTGTTTTTTACTTTTTGTATGTCAGTGATTTTAGATTAATTTAGCATGTCGCCCTTATCTTTTTGGATAGGATAAACTGATGCATTTATCCTTTTTTAAAATTTAACTTTATTTATTTATTTATTTGTTTGTGTGATTGTTTTAATTTGAACAGAGAGGGACAGAGCAAGAGAGAGAGAAAGGTAAAGTGCAAAAGCAAGCCACCAGGTCCACGACTCAAACCATAGCTAGCCATATGGAAGTACAGTGTCCTTAACCACCATGCCACCTGCCAGCCCCAAAACTGATGCATATTTTTCTAACAGTATCAAAGATGTCTTAAAACAATATTTTGACCTGTAAGGAAAAAAATTCTGCCCCTAAAACATTTTCTGAGAATCTCCTTTAGATAGTTGTTTTAAGGATTTTAACATGACATTTCATGTTTTCTCTTTTATTAATTTATCAGAGGATTGGGGATACAGACAGACAGAAAGATACACACACACATGCGCGCGCGCGCACACACACACACACACATACACACACACAGAAAGTAGGAAAAAGCACTTCTGTGAGAAATGGTCACACCACAATCTCTTCTCTATTTTTCTCTCCTTTTGGGATCTTGGGCGCACACACACACACACACACACACACACACATATCTGGTGTGTTTTTCAAGCTGCTTGCCTGGTACTTGAGCTGAAAAGTCAGCCATGTGCTATCCAGCTACATTAACCACCTTTCTATGGACTGCCCATGACATGTTCTTATGACCTATAGAACACTAGATACTAGGGCCTTGTTCCTCTATACTGTGAGTCAAGTGTTCTTTCATAATATTTTGTTAGAGCAACAGATAAAATAATTTTTACTTTAGTTCCCTTAGATGGTAATGTTCATATATGTAGGGCTTTTATCACTCTTAAATACAACTATAGACTTCTGTAGTGAATTGATACAGGCCCATTAAATTTGAACTTCAGAGGACCAGCAGATAGCAAAGTGGTTACATCGCTGGATTCCCATGTAGTTGATCTCAGTTCGAGTCCTGGACCTGCTGGTTTAAACTCACATTGGGCATGTGTGCATGTGTGTCCCAAATCCCAAGAAGAGAATGGAAGAGAAGGAATTGCTGCATGGCCATCCTCCCCAAGGGATGATTTCTTGCTTTCTGTCTCTGTTTCTCTCTGTCTCTCCAGTGAGTGCATAAACCATGCACCCAATACCAAAAATCTCTCTCTAAAAAAAAAAAAAAAAAAAAAAAAAAAAAAAAAAAAAAAATGAGCTTCATAAAAAAAAAAAAAAAACAAGAAAAGAAATTGGACTTCAGGTCCTAAGTAGTCCTAATTTCTATTGAATAGCTAGTTGATTAACTCATAAGTAAGAAAAATATTGGTATAGTTTTTAGTTAAGTCAAGGCTTAATTTAATTTCTCTATTAGTTTTAGCAAATAACTTCAAAGTTCTGTGGCTTAAAGCAATGTAAGTTTGTTTCTTGCCCAAGCCGTTTTTCTTCTAGTGACTATGCCATCACTTAAGGCTTTATATTGTTTCCTAAATCTGCTCCATCTGCTGGACAAAGAGAAAAGCAGACAGCATGGAACATTGTACCAGATATTTTATGGGCCAAACCTAGAAGGCATAAACACTTTTTCTGCACATTTTATTAGTCAGAATTTTTATACTGCTGACCTAGATGCAGGGAGAACAGATGCTGGAAAGTGCTGACTTCCTGGAGAAAGTAACAGAACTGAGTAGCATCCAGCTAGTCCTAGACAGAGCTTGATACCTCAACAGTTACTCTCCATTCAGCAAAAGCAGGATGTGTATGTAGACTTGCCATGGTCATATGGCAGCCTTTCTATTCCTGGTTTGGTCTACAAGGAAGATTAAAATGAAGAATGATGTAACTGATTTCTCGAAACTACTAAGTTTTGGTATGAAATTATGACAAGTAAACACCTATACTATATTTATCATAAATAAATAAAGGATTTTATTTTATTCATACTATTCTTTTTATGGTGTAAATTTTAAGAGGCACAAAAGAGAACTCTCTTGAAATTCATCAAGATAATGGTACTTTAGTAAAATAGATACACATTCAAAAAAATTGCCATAATTTTTTAGGGTCCTAGGTAAACAAAATATGTGTTAAAGATATAATTAAAGATTAACACGAATTTGAGATCTGGTGGTGTAAAGAAAACAAAGCTAGGCCCATGAAAATACTTGGTATTGTAGTAGCTGATGATGGGATCTAGGTAAAATTCAAGTCAGTACTTGGAATATTGCCTACAGCTCACAGTTATTAGGACTGAAACTTTTTGTATGTCATCTCTGGCCACATAGAAAAGTCAGAATTTGTACAGAAATTCTCTTA